AGGGGAGAAATAACTAGAAATTGAAATGGAGAAGAGCCTTGAAGTCAGAAAAAAAATAGGTAAAGATTATTTCCATTTAATTTGAATTTGTTTTGGAGCAATACAAAGACCTGGTTTATTTTAGGTGTAAGTTAGGGGAAGGAARAGTCAGTAAAACATTTTCACTGCTGAGACCAATGCATTTCAAAGCAGGATTGYATGGCATAGGCCAGGATGGGCACAGACTGTGATAGATGTCCCAGGGCTACCAGCTGTGACAGCTCATTCTCCTGCTGACTGACTCATCATGCTCAAATGCTAACTCTAAAATCCAGGGGGAAAATTATTCATTTTTTAATAGCCAAAAKTGAAAAGATACTTTCAAGAATAATAAATGCTTTGGTGAGTATATTTTCTTTCATTTCTTTCTAAATTTCCTTARAAAGCATTTGTGGGAAATATGAGTGCAACAGAAAATTTCTGGTTTAATGCATTCTTACTTTTATATGTTGCTAAATGTAACTTTAGAAGTAATCATCATGAAAAAAGTATCTTTCAGCAAAGATTGACAAAGAAAAAGGCCTTGATGTAAAATATGAAGTTAGCTTCTCTGTTAGGTTTTGAAAAGGTTGCAAGGTTTCTATGTGTGTYTAATTGTTTTTAAAGTCTAATTTCTAGTTAAACAGAATTAAASCAACTACAGACTTTTGAGCAATTTCATTTGAGCAGCATCCCTAGAGATCTCCCTCTGGCAATATGATACCAGTGGGTGCTGAAGAAGGATTTACATTCCTGAAACTTGGATGGTTTTCCAACTATAATAGTTTGTCTAATAATACATAAACAAACAAAAGACTCTGCTACTGTACCTTGCTTTTGTAACAACAGCAGTACGTGTTTTAAATGTGGCACTGATTCATACCTTTGTTTTAATAAGCTTAGATTTGGGTAAGGAGACATTAAAATAAGTGTTTTCATTCTTAATATTTGCAGCATGTCTCTGCCAAGTATATATATTTTAAAAACATTTCACTGACTCTGTTTAGCTGCTGGAGGCAGCCTTGTATTAAGGAGCCATGGGAGCTCTTGGCATTTTCAGTGCTGTGTTGATTAAGATCAATTCCAAACATGATGAGACATTTAATTTTCATCTGTGCGTCTTCACTGTGTTTATACCAGGCTCTCCTGGTATTTCTGCACATATGGTCTTTAAATGCCTCATGRAAAAATAGCTCTTATTTTGTCAAAGAGGAAAGATAATAATAATTGATAATTAAGAGATTGGTTGGAGGYCATTTGTAATGCTTTTAATCCTAAATARTGATTACTCAGAAACTGAATGTTTGGACAAACACACCAGGGCAGAGACCATRYAAATTGCATAGCAGATGCCAGCRGCCCTGGCTTCCCTGGACAGACCTWCATGGGAAAYCTGCATGTSCACAGGTGAGAACACATGGCCTGTGTGGCTTAAATTCCCTGGTTTTCACCCTTTGAGTTGTGTCACCACCTAGCTACTCCTACRAAGCACAAATTCCTCTATTTAGTCTCACAGGACCCTCCAGTGCTATGGGAAAGGGTCACCTGCTGGTGCCAAATGACAGATCACTCCTTTGGTCTTGAGTACCCACTGCAGCAAGGCCAAGTGGTGGCAGCTCTCCCTGGTGCCTGTGGGGAACCCAAGGGAGTTGGCAATCCTCAGCTTCCCTCTCYTCAGTTCCTCCATAGCTCGAATAGGGAGAGGATATTTCTGCACAATCCTGCCCCTCTACTCTGAGCTGGCTTCCTAGAGCAGAGCTGAGCTTCAATCAGGAGGATGTGGAGCCACATTAATTCTCAAAGGCTGAGCTCTTATCCCAAAATATTTATATTATCAACAGCCTAGTAGGCAGCCAAATAGGACTGGGTAGTTCTGCAGCATGAGGTCTCTCCTCAGCATGAGACCAGWGTTGTGTGTGTAGATTTCTGCAAAGCTGAAGGGGAAGGTGCTGCCTCGACAAAGAGGGCAGCTGTGTATTCTGCAAACATCTGCATAGATTATTGCCATTATCTATGGTAAATGGATCTTCAGACTCCTGCTAGTGGCAATCATGTTGGTATGTCTGAGTTCTTTGTCTCTGCCTCCCTGTAACAGCARAGTAAAAGCTACTATCTGTTCCTGCTCTACTCTGACAAATTTCATTAGCATGAGCAGGTTTTCTTCCCTTTRGTAATATCATTTGATTTTAAACATGGTATTTCTGAATCATAGTTTAGCAGGAGATTTTCAAACAAGCATTTAATGAATAATAGATGGAAACAGAAAGAAGGCAGCTTAAGAATTTCAGATAAAATTAAACTAGCAGCTGTTAAATATTGTAGCAGTCATTACAATGAGAAGTCATCTGCTACCTATCCAGGAGACTTATAAATTTTATGTGTAATGGAAATGAGATTTGGTTTAACCTTGTCACACCGTAATCAATTTGTGTCTCTGGGAGCTCAGCATTTGACACCAACTTTCTGCAGTGCCATTTGCTTCAATACAATGCAATTAATAAACCAGCAGTGTATAAAGATGTAATTTGCAGCTCAGATGGCAAAAAGTCTTCAAATCAGTAAAGGCAGATATATGAGTGGATGATAAAACTCAAGATTTAYTGTTTTATAGCTCCATCATAGGTCATGTATTCTCTTTGTCCTACACAACAGCTTGCTAAGTGTCTTTATTTGTTGATATAAAGCTGGGAAAAGTAATGTCATACAAATAGACTTGCATATTTTTTTGAAATATCTGTATAGAGATATATAAGTATGTAGGTTATATGTAAGCATGTAAGTAGGATATAAATATAAAATTTATACTTATATCATAATCTCTAAGGACTAAGGATGGAAATAATTCTGGGCACATGGGACATATTTATCTCATTGGGGTAGGATTTTGCCCCATCTGTGAYGCAGAATGCTGTTAATCAGAAATATTTAAACTGAGAAGGAAGCTTGCAGAAAAGTTACACTTTATTTTTCYGACGTTCATAAGAAATAGTCCTTGAGAATGGCATTTTGGCAGACAGCACAGGAGGCTTGGCAGGATTCTGCAAGCAGGCAGTGGTGCTGATATTCCCTGTTCTGATTGAGGAGCTTGCTGCCAGGACACATGTTAAATTCAGGGACTTATCCTTTAGTAATTCAGTGAACAGAATAGATTCCTGTATGTCTCCTCTCCATGTCCTGCCTGCTTGGTGTGCTCTGTGAAATATGTTTTCAAATATTCAGACAAAGAATTCAGACAAAGAACTGTCTAATGCTCAGAAATTCTGGTATTTTAAAATATTAGCTCAGGTTTGCGCTGGGGGAAGTCTTCACATTTACCCAGTGAAAAGAACAGTTAAGAATCTGTGCTTGAAATATTCGAGGTGGGGTGGGGGAAGGATGTGTGGCTGTGTGTGTGTGTGTGTGTGTGTGTTATAAAGGAAATTTGAAAGCAATATTGTACAGTTTGATCTAGTAAACTTTCTAAACTTTCCATTGTTAATCAGAAAATGCTCGGGAAGGATAAATAGGTGAGGATTCAAGTAATTAGATATCAAGCAATTTTGTGTGGTGAAAAAACACCACAAATATATAAATGTCCCATAGTCTTTGTCCATGCTAGAGGTGTTTGTGGACTTCTTTAGGTGCATAACATATATRGGAGGCATTAATGCTTGAATGTTTATTTACACATTTTTACACCAGTTTCCTCCAGGAAGCTTGTTCARTGGGCTCAGGCTGCAGTGTCAATCCCTACCTATGCAGGTCASAAACAAAGGGCTCCGGGAGGGCTCTGGCCATGCATTGTTGTGGTTCTAAATCGGTTATTAAACGCCTTTAAATAAAGGTGACAATCGTGACTGTATTTTTGTTTGGTTAGAGACAAACCCTTGAACACTGGTAGAGTAGAGTAGGGTTCAGAGTATGCCATGAGAATGAACAATCAAGGAGAGAGAGTCTAAAAGGGGCTCACAAGTCCATTGAATATGGTTCAATGAAACAACTTTCTGGTGAACAAAAACCTGTATGAATGGATATAGTTAATTTATTTTGGGTGGACAAGTTAGAAATGTTGGGTTTYGAAAAAGATTAACAAAGAGGATTTTAGTAAAACTTTTTACTGGATTAACATAAAGAAAATATATGTATCTTTTAAGATTAAAATTGAAATATTTCCAAATGTACATTGGAAAATTTAGACACAACCTAAGTAGGCAGGTTTCAGTCTTCAAACCTCTGCCTCACTGACAGTCTAAGAAATAGGCAGAACTGTGGTTACAATCACTGTTATCACAGAGGAAGAGAATGCTGAGAAATGCAGTCAGAATGGCAGAACAGTCGCAGGGTAGACAGAGCACTGGGTTTGTGKGCAGGTGGTGGGTGAGTATAAAGCAGCAGGCAAGAACAAGGACAGATAAGTAAGTCATACAGTCATGATTTTTAAAGGCAGGCTGATGCCAAGCAGGGCTATGACACTTTTCACCTAAGAGCATTTTGTCAGTACACAGGAGGCTTTACTGCAGCAGCCAAGTGTTCCTGCTGCACACAAAACCCAAAGGTGAACAGCAACACTTCTGAAAGACACGCATGAGGTAGTAAGAGGAAGGAGAGGGGTAGTAAAATAGCAGAGAAATCAGAAATGACCTGCATAGCTGCAAGAGGTCTGGGAGAGAAGATAGGACATGAATTCTGTAACTTCAGCAGAACTCTCAGCAGAATATTAATTCCAAGGCAGTAATTGTATTTTCTGATTCTTTAGCTCAGAAACCATACTTTTATCTAAGCGACCAGAAGTCTGACAATTCATAGAATCCAACGACCTTGACATTTACCTTCTGTTTCACAACCTTCTCCAAACCCCTCAGTCTGTGTCTGGTGCTTACAACCTGATGCTGCAGTCCTGGAGAATCCAGTGAGTGAGTTTCTCTACTTGCCTGCCTGAGGCTGTCTCGAGAGCGCAGTGTTCAGCCCAGAGAGGAGCAGGCTTGAGAAGAACCCTTTGAACAATGGACCTGGTGTTTGATAAAGAGTGGAAAAGCGAAGGCCAGGGGAAGGGAGATCGGAAGCAGGCASGGTCCCCTCTCCCTSCAGCGGCCGGGGATGCTGCGCTCCCCCGGGGGTACATTCCCCAGTGCCGTTTGAGGCTGCTCAGCTCCATAAATGCCATTTGCATGGGGATAGGATGCAACAAGAGCTGTAAATCACTGACGGCAGAGTGAACTCCTCAGGGGCAGACACGGCGGAGCCGAGCCTCCGCGAGCTGGGGCAATGTGTGAACGATATCTTTTGTTGGGGGGGGGGAGGACTGATAGCAATTAGATGATACTTATCTGGCCCTTTGATGTGTATTTACACTAACAAAGTTTTCCTCCAGGAGTTGCGGTATAAAGGAGAGGCCCGTGCTCCCCGACACCCTCCTTCCCGGCACCTCCGAAACAAGGCAGGATGACTAAGGCCCCTTTCTCCGTGGAGTGGTTGTCCCAGAGCAGCCAAGCTGTCAAGAGCCCCGCCGAGGGCTCTCCACACCGAGCATCCTCCGCGGATCACCGGCTCGGCTCCAGCCCCAGCCCCGGCCCGAGCGAGCGGAGCCGGGARCAGCCCGCGGGCCCGCGGGACGGGAGAGGCGGCAGGAGCAGGGATCGCGTGGCAGCCACTCCCGCCGCAGGTACCCGCTGCCACCGGGACATCCTGGGGCTCCTGCGMGGGGCGGGGGGCCGGGGACACCCCCGGGGACGGGAAGGCATCACTGCGGGGTGGTGGCAGCTCGGGGGTGGAGGAGGCGGACGGTTTCCCACCCGGTTCCCGGAGCCTGGCTGACMCTTTTCTCCCTGTCCCTGTTCCAGGAGCAGGCGGGAGGCCGTCGGGAGCGGGACAGCCCGTGCCGGAGGAGGGCCCCGAGTGCCCGGGCCCCGAGGAGCCGTGCGGGCGCGGCGGGCGGCGGCTGCGCACGGCGTTCAGCGCGGAGCAGATCAGCACCCTGGAGAGCTCCTTCCAGCGGCAGCAGTACCTGGGCGCCGCCGAGCGCCGGCAGCTGGCGGGCAGGATGCGCCTCTCCGAGGTGCAGGTGAGCGCGGGCACTTGAGGATTTGCACTACTGATAGATATCTGCGGGGCTCGGTGAACCACCACAGCCAGGTCCCAAATAACGAGGGGCTCGGTGAACGGCCACAGCCAGGTCCCAAATTCCCAAACAAACGAGGGAAGGAACAGGCTGGGTGACGTTCTTCTTTTCTCCTTCCCTGTTCCCCCAGATCAAGACCTGGTTTCAGAACCGCCGGATGAAGCTCAAGCGGCAGCTGCAGGAGTTGAGGACGGAGCCGTTCTGCAGCCCCGCTCTCCCGTACGGAGCTCAGAGCGCTGTGGTGCCCCTGCCGCTCACATACGTGGCCCGGCCACCACCTCTGCCCCCGCAAGGGGCTGCCCCCGAGAGCTTCCCCTTGGCGGCACTGCCGGCACCCGCCCTGGACCTCAGCAGCGCCTGCAGAGCACAGCCAGTTGGCTTTTGGGCAGCACCCTGCTTTGTAGGGTACAGGGATCCCCGAGCTTTCTTGCTGGGTGTCTGACCCTCTGATATGGACTATGACCAAAGAGGATTTGCACTACTGATAGATATCTGGCTGCCCCTGTCTGTAGCTGCCTGATGGAGTTATGATGCAGCACCGATGTAAACATTTACAAAGARATGCTGGACAATCTGAAGCATGGACTGCAGGCCCTCGGCATTTATAAGCAACTGTAAAATATAAAAGGGGTGGGACAGACAATAATATAAATGGATTTTTTAATAAACCTATTTTTTTCCAGCTTTCATGAGAATTCCTTTATCGAGGATTGTAGAGCTATTTATCCTGCCTGAAAGAAAGCTCCACTTTATTAAAAGAAGCTTAGACTCCTTCTTACCTAGATTTATATTACCCCCCTGCAATTTACTTTGAGAGTGAATGCAAAAAGGCATGAATTGCACTCTGTCTTCTAAAGCAGGTATCCAACCCCTTTGGCCACTTACTAGATGAAATTTTCTGTCGTGGAACTGTGCTATGCACTTGTAAAATCTTAATAATGATCTAGAAACTAATGATCAAAATTGCCTGMTTTCAGGCCAGAAAAAAGGCTCTGATAAATGATCCTTGATTGGTGCAAGTTGACATAAATCTTTCAAAGTCAATTGTCAACTAACATGAAAAGAGCAATAAAAATTTCCATCACTTTAGAGGTTATCTGGGGTTTTCTTTTTTTTTTTTTTTCTTTTTTTTTTTTTTTTTTTTTTTTTTTTTTTTTTTTTTTTTTTCTTTTTATTTGTAATTTGGGCTCCTGTGATGAAAGATCTGAGGGTTCTCTGTCAGTATCTTTGAATATCTTTTGTATATAGGGCCCAATCTGCCACTTAAGTGCACTTGCCTAGTAAAAGGCAACATTATGTGCTGCTGTGGGCAGTGGGATATGCAGTCACCTCTGGAAGYCTCCTTGTTTATTTTGTAATGTATGCTGTATTTTTCTAGCCTTTTGGGATATTAGTATTTGTTTGCAATTGCACAAATTGTCTCTAATGCAGGAGTTTCGGCTAAATTAAAAAGGTCTCAAGTGCTATCAATCTTGCTGAGGTATCAGGAACACGATGCAGTTTTGGATTAAGAAAATTTGTAGATATGTAAGTAAAAATCCCATTCAATGGGAGCTTATTTCTCAAATAAGTCAGGTATTAAGTGGTAATACTGATTCGAGAAAACCTGTGTCTTTCAAACATCATTAGGGAACTGGGGCATCTCCAGAAAGAGCTGCAATGGTGAATATTTTTCTCTGCTCTAAAGCAGTGATGTTTAAAATAACAAAACAGTCAAGGCAAATAAATATACAGTTTACAAAAAAAAAAAAAAATATTAAGCATAAGACTCGATGTGGCTATTCCGTTTTCAAGGGGGTAATGGTTGGAGGGTTATAGTAAAATTCCTTTATAATATCGTTTGACCACAGCAGGGAACCCCACCACTCCTCCAAATGCTCGGCTCAGCCCGTACAAAAGGAATAATGGTAATAACCCTTCCTGTTTTCAGAATTCAGAGCGGCGGTGTGGGGAGCTGGGGGGCGAAGGGACGGGGCACCTCTGAGGGCACCGGGAATACCCGCAGAGTTCCGGGATCGCCCCACCCCGGGGCCAAATGGGGGAGGGTGAAAGGGAAGTGGGGACGGGCGGCACCGCAGCTGGACCCGGGGAAAGTGAGAGACACATGAAAGGGCTCAGGAGGCGGAGAGAGGGAGAACAAAGTGCTCCGGCCTGCGAAGGGGAACTGCTTCCTGGGAGGGGAATTGTGGGGACGGGGCTTGTGAGGGGGAGAAAGGTCCCCTCGGCTCCCCCCCTCAGCGGTAGAAAGGGAGAGGCGAGAGCACACCTTATCGAGTCCCCAAATGTCCCCTGTGAGAAGTGAGCAGAGCAGCTCACTGAGTCCTCATCCCCTGGGTCTGCCCTCCCGGGCTCGTAACGCGGGGCCGCAGCCACCGGGCCGGGCTGTCCCGTCCGACGAGCGCGGAGCCAGCTCCAGGCTGCCCCTGCCCGCCCCCGGGCTCGGCTCCACCGCCCCAGCGGAGCCCGGAACGGGGCAGCAGCTTCCCCTCCGTGCMGGGCTTTAGAGCGAGACAGAGACAGCCGGTGCTGCCAGGGACAGCACGCAGTGCTGCCATCCTTATCGTGATTTAATGCCGCGGGGTTTGTGGGSACCGCGCTGTGACAAGCGGGACTGGGGGGCGGTGTCGGGGCTGTGTGCGGCTCCCCGTGCTCTGGCTGCGGCTGCCGGGTTTCGTGCCAAGGTTAGCGGGAGTAACAGGGCAGCCCAGCTCTGGGCGCATGAGCTGCTGAACGGCTGGCGAGGCAGAAGCCGCTCTCTGTTTGAAAGGGCGCTAATGGTCACTTAACGTAATGACTCCTTGGCCACAGGATACTCAGCAAGCACATGAGACGCCTTGCCAGGGTTTTGGCACGGCTAGCTTGTAAATATTTTTTCTGTTTCCCGGCAATTGCGTTCAAGTGAACGCTAAAGGTAATGCTCACTTGGTGAGTCCCTCATGGTATCAGGTTCCTCCGAATACCTGCAGGATTYCTCTCCTAGCTGCAGAAATCGGCTTTCTCTAGAAGGCAAGTACTACTTTCCAGTGGTCTAGAAAGCTATATGTGAAATAATTTCATTCTTGCTAAAGCTGACCAGTTTGGCACTAAAATGTGAATGAGCGTGTTTCCTTTAATCTGGGGAAAAAGAAACTCGGATCCATGCTTTATTCCTGTTCGTTTGAGTTTCTGCTTCACTGTGTTTTAGTCCTGGAAGCAGCAGAGGGGCCCGTCAGTGCACAGAGTGTCAGTGCAGGCCCCTGCAGGGTATCAGCCCCTCGCAGGAGATCGGAGCGGTGCGGCTCCGGCACGGCACCCGCGCAAAGCCCCGCAGCGACCCCAGGGCAGCGCCCCCAGCGCGGCAGGGAGCGCCCCGCCT